GTATCTGTTCTTACCTTTGCATCTCTCTGCTATATAATATAGAAGTGTGGCATCATCCTCTGCAGTACTGAACAATCGTCAAAGCGTACGATTTGTTCAATCGCCATGGTGAAATGGAACGTGTTGAGTTGAGCAGATGTATTCAATCAGATTTTGTTTTGTCAATGATATTTTCAGTCTGAACCATATGATATAAACAACAGGGTATGATAAGAACTTTTTTATGGTCAGGCCCTTTTGGTAGGAACGTGACCAGCATAGCTTGCTTATTTATCATGGAAAAATAGTTTATAATATATCCACAGCGTATTAATAATATAGTGACAATATGTTAATGTGAGTAAGTAGGTGACATGTCGTGCAGACTTAAACCAAATCTGGACCTTTGCGATCATTCCATGTTGTTTATATCATGGTTTACACCTAAGTATAGGTACCAATCTATATACTCTGAGTATCTGCTAGTGGTATAACATGTACTACCTAGTATCTACCATAGATAATATAAGAATAGATATGCCACCCCAGTGGCGTATTTACAGGGGGGATCCGTGGGGTTAGGTTAGGTCTCCCCATTGAACACCTAAAAGCCTATCTAAACATTTAATATATTTATTAATATATTCTGTAGTACCCCCCCCTAAATGTATTTGGAAAATTAGCTGGACCCCATCCATGAAAAATTCGTAAATACGCCACTGGGCCGCCCACTCGTGTATTAACTGCAAAATAATGGGTGGCGGTACGGAATGTGACTGAGAGATAGAATAAATTGCTCTTATATAGCGCACTCACTCTATTAAGGGGTTTTATCATTATTTGTATTTGTTATACATAAGAGTGTCCCTCAAGAATTTATTCATTGGGATATCTCCTGAGATAATAAATATATCACAAATCTGTTTTTTTGTTTTAGACTCACTGAGACAAGAATTACACATATTTTATTTTTTAGTTTAATTTAATTTTTTGTTAAAAAAATATTTTGTCAGTTTTTAAACAATCGAAGATAGCCATTTTATAGAGTTTATTTTTGTGAACATTTTCATTTTCAACATTTTATTTTCATTAATCTCATGGTTTTTGATATTCTTTTTATTTAATAAGGACTAAGATATTATAATTTCAGTCCACGCTTTAAAACCTCAAAAAACTAAAATGTTCATTATCGAGTTATAAATATTCTGGCGACATCCTATAATATCCTATCTTTTCTTATATTATCTATTGGTACTACACAGCAGCCTTGTGCGCTGTCCGCCGACCAAGATACCTATATATAATATTATATATTCTATCTTACCCGCACAGCTGTCCTAATTTTTCATCACACTCTCAGTCTTCTATACTACTTTCTGTAGTATGGAATCGTTGTGATAGTTACCTAGATAAGAACAGCAAATGGACTACACTGGAGAGCGACGGCGAGTAGGTACCACCTATATCCGGCAATGTAAATAAACTGCAGGTCGGCGGTCACGTCACGACAGCCGATGATTATGTACCACTATACCACGACAGCCGGTGATTATGTACCACTATACCACGGCAAAGACATTTCAAACTGCTAGTCGTATTTCGGTATCTTGTACGAAGCGTTGACGCATGAAAAAAAATAGACGGGACATTACCTAGGTATATGAAGGTATATGATACCTAACGCGTGAGATCTCATTAGGCGGAGATCGTCACGATGACATTGGCTGTCCTCGGAACAGTACTTCCATTTCTCTCACCCTCTTGATAAGCTGTCTCTCCGATTGGCACGATCACGCCTCCAAGTCCTCTTGGCCAATGTTCAGTGTGTTACGGTTGTTGGTTGAGTAAGTACTAACGCTAACCAATGTTGTTATCTATCTCGATGTACCTAAAGAATATAGAAATCCATGTTTCTATGTTTTTTTCATTTATCATTTTTTTTTACCTATTAGATGAGCGTAGTAGTGGATAAACATTTCACAGGGTAACCCTTTAAACTTTGAATACTTATAACTCATAAAAAATTCGATTTTTATGTTTCGAAGCACTTAGACAAATATTCTGCTTTGGAATCTTAAAAGATTATAAGGATAAAAAATATTTTAAAATGTATTTTTTAATAAATACGTTGTTTTGTAAACGCCTTGAAACTATGTAAAATAATATTTTTAAAAACATTTGCACTTCTTGAAATAATAAAGTGTTCGATGATAAAAGAATCACCCTGTAGTGTGTACAATAATTACGCATTCATACAGCGTGTATCCCTACTTCTTAAATATTTTTTTTTTACTATTGTGTGAATAATTAAATTTTACCTACTATCCGTTGACACTATATTATTATCCACTTATTTTATATACCTACATATTTTATACATACCTATATATTTGTGTTCATCATAAGCCTGAGCCCTATAACCATCGACACATCATAGTACACGTCATGTGGTGTCTTCTTGAACGATTTTTTGTACCGATCTCATCGTGTTTGGCTTTAAAAAAGGTGTGATGGACGCAAGTGGGTTGCTCTGTATGAAATGAACTCAATATAATATGCACGTCATGTAAGAATGCGTAATTGTACAAACTATAAAATGTATTATTATTTACTAATTAAATTTTAGATTTAGAGTTTAGACTAATCAGTTTTCAGCAATTCGCTTAGGTAACCACAAAGTCTAGTGCTGTTTCAACACTCGTATTTTTAATAATAATATTTAGGCAAAATCTAGTGGTTTTATAGGTGCTATAATATATAATACATACTATAATGTTATAGTAAATAGTATCTGTATACAGTATATTATATATTTTATATTTATTTATATTAATTTTATAAATATATTTTATTTTAGGTACCTAACTAGTAGATACTCTGAGTGGCACACGGAAACGGGAAATATTTATAGGTAGGTAGGTACCAATGTCCCATTGGATTGTTAAAAACAGTTATAACTCGATAAGAAATCAGTATTCAAACACATATATTAAATCGAAATATTATTATACACAATTATAGAATAATATAATATTATGTCTTTATCATTATTTATAAAATTACAATTATTATTAGCTTCAGACAATAATAATATAGTAACTCAATTAAATAATTATGATGTAAGGTGTAACTATATAAGAGTAAAATCCATTAGGAATACACATAATTGAGAATGGATACATTTTTTCTTAGAATTTATACAATTTTATAGGTAAATGTAGTATAATAAAATTCATCAAGAACCTACTAAATTATATAAAATAATAAATTCTAGGAACTCAATTTGATGTAGGTGTGCTTTGAGCAATAATTAGCCGAGTAAGCATTTTATGAATCTGATTTATACAGACACCACCTCACAACAAATCGAACTCAGCAAACAAAAGTAGGTACAATAGAGTTATAATATACATTTATTTATCAGTCTTAACACTTAAACATAAAATATACATAATATAATGTCTGATAATATTGACTAAAACTTAATTATTTTGGAAAACACGTCCACTGAACCAGATTACAAAAATAAATTTAAAATCCGAATGTAATGAACATTATTTAATTAAATATCACACCTTTCACAAAAAACATATAGAGAAAAATACAATAAGTGTGTTGGTATGAGTGGTATCAGACAATATCATTTAATATATAGGTAGGTACAAAATATTATAAGTACATGTCATAAGTAAGTTGTTTAAACTGATATTATATGAATTATAACAAAAAACAATAACCATTAATAAATAATTCATCATTATTCATTTTAAAATCTACTTACAATCAATAAAAAAAAATTATGTATGTATAATTGAATTTTGATAACTGATACACTACTGAATCTGGATGGTATATAGTACTTTCCATGGCATTCTTTCCAAAACGCCAGGAAAACCAATTTATTATGTTGATATTTCGTATTTAGTATTAACAAATAAATGAGAGTATTAAAATAATAACATATCATGGCAATTAATATAATGAAAAATATTATCTTAAATTAAAATATAGTGAAAATAATAAAAACAAAGTAGGTACTATTTTGACAAATAAAATAACATAAATAAATAATAAAATGTATAAAGCACCATAGGAGTCCCTCAATAAAAATATTTTGTAATGTACCTATGAAGTATAAATATTAGTTTATTATGAGAAAATGTATCTAATATAAATTAAGACCCTACACAATTAAATGTACAATATGTACCTACATCAATAAGAACTTAAAATTATATTTCTGAAAAAAAAATAAGATTTTGAGTGGAATAAAATTATCATTAATGTCATCATATCTTTAATCGGGATGATAATATTATCGTCAAATTGTTTGAACTTTTTGAAATTGTTGACAATATTTTATGAAAAATAACTTTCAGACATTGACTAAACTTTGTATATTTAAGAATGACAAACAATGTAATTGTAACTTCTTAATTTAAAGAACAACTAAGTATGATTCATTTCAACATTCATTTTTAATATTATTTCTAAATAAAACCATTTATGAACCTTACATTTTGTAATAATAACAATTTTTGATTAATTTAATTTAATTTAAATTATTAGTCAAATTTTTTAAATAAAACGTAAATAATTCTTACTAGCTACCTTTTTGTACTATATGTAACATTATTGTATATACATTGCAGACAACATATTAGATAATATAAATGCAAACACATTACAATAAACAATTTAAAGTATTTAAACTATAACACAAATAATGTGATTTTTATAATTTAATTTATACATTTTTACACCCTTAAATATTACTTTAAAATTTATATTAACAAAAATAAAAATGTTTATAAAATAATTGATTATTATTTTATTTTATTCACATTTAAAACAATACATTCAATAATTAGAACAAACATAGTAAAAGTAAAATTAACCTTTTCATAATAAACAATTAAAAATTATTAACTAACTAACAACAGCGTACTGACATATTTTAATTAATCTTTAAATAAACAATTTTTTCAAACCGCGTTTGATGTATCTAATAGCTTTCACTTCTAAGGTGGCAATAGTACACCAGCATTGTAAAAACCATAATTGTCAATATCTGTCTCTGTAAGTTCGTTAAGGTTTATTTCGTCATTCTGGTCAAAATAAACAAGTTGATCAGAGGTTATCATAGAAAATTCTTCCATGTTCTTGGCTTGTTGAAGTTGTAACTTTGTCTCTTCTTCCTTCTCTCCAAAAATAATAAATGAATCAATTGAGTTTATTGGTACTTGAGTAATTTCTTCCGTATTCTTGGTTGGTTGAAATTCCAAGTTACCCGACTCTAATATACCATTAGATAAATCATAGTCCAGTGACATAACTGTTGTTGGAATGACATCATCAAATGGACTATCTTCATTAAACTCATTAAAACCAAGAATATTATTATAATTAGGATCATCAATATCCATCATGTCAATATCAGGATTATTAAATATATTAGTACCATCATCAATATCACCAATAATTTCCATCAAATTATTAGAATTTTCATTTATAAGATTTTGAAAAAGAAAATCACTGTTTATGTCATAATTTATAGATTGAAGATCTGGAGTAACTGAATTCTTAATTGTAACATTATTTAAATCATCAAACACATTAGATGTACTAGGAACAAAAGACATATCAACATTATTGGTGTCTATCGGGTCGCTTATGTCATAATTTGTAGATTGAAGATCTGGAGTAACTGAATTCTTAATTGTAACATTATTTAAATCATCAAACCCATTAGATGTACTAGGAACAAGTGATATATCAACATTATTGTTGTCTATCGGGTCGTTTATGTCATAATTTGTAGATTGAAGATCTGGAGTAACTGAATTCTTAATTGTAACATTATTTAAATCATCAAACACATTAGATGTACTAGGAACAAGTGACATATCAACATTATTGGTGTCCATCGGGTCGTTTATGTCATAAATTGTAGATTGAAGATCTGGAGTAACTAAATGTTTAATATTTACATTATTTAAAACATCAAACACATTAGATATGGGTATATTGCTAGGAACAAGTGACATATCAACATTATTGGTGTCTATCGGGTCCGTTTGAACATTTACATTTGGTTCAATTTGCAGTTCTTCAATACCTCTTATATCGACACCTTTAAAATCATTTTGGTTTTCGGTATCATTAGTACTGTCATGTTTTGAATTAGACAAACACTTAGGGTATTTGGTATTGAGATACGTTTCATACGCCTTGGCAAAACGCGGTTGATCATACAATATCATTAACGCATTATTAATTGCATCTTCAACTTTAATGTCTGTACATCCACTTGCAGTATCAATATAAAGAAAAATATTTTTCAAAATACTTACTGCCAATTTATAAAATTTATCATCTTCAAGATATTCTTCACAAAACCATTTTACATATACTTCAACAAATTTTGAACCGTGTCCAGTATTGCTTTCTTTTATTGGCAATGTGATACCAGCTTTCAAAAGCTTGGATATAAACCTACTTGAATTATTACATTCTTTCCATGACTGATGAATAGAATCATCTGATTTAAGAATATTAACCATACTCTTACATATTTCTTCATTTGAACTGTTTTTCTTTATACAAAACCCTGTGTTTGTGACACAAAAATGTTCCGAGTTTGATGTTCCTGGCGCAACATTTGAAAATTCATCATTATCGACTGGTGATGGATAAGTATGAATATTTGCATATTTCAGTGATAGCTCAGTAAGGACGTCTTTTACTATCCGAACATTAGATAAACTCTCAAAAAGAGATTCTTTATTCAATACAATTCTTAGTCCAGAATTGCGACAGGAATCTTTAACTTGATTGGATGCTATATTAACGATATTTTTAACAAATTTAAATAAAAGGATAATAGCTGGACTCCTTTGTGAAATAACATTACTAACAATCATTTTACCCAATGGCCAAATTAAAATATTTTCTACATCTGTAAAGGTAAAATATTCTTTCAAAACGCAGGAATCAAGTTGTATTGATTTCAATAATTTTTCGATATCTATCATATCACATATATATTTGCCTTTTAAATCCAGAAAGTCCAAGTGAAGCTTATCACAAAGTCCCATTTTCAAACTTCCGAAATATACAATAAATTGAAACCATTTTGATCTTTCAAAAGATTTCCGCCTTTTCCACTTAACCTTATATGGGTTCATATCTGCAAAAATAATAGTTCTTAACATTCTTATTTCTGATTTAGTTAATGTTATTGGATCTGATACTAATTTATATATAAACTTTTCACATATTTTTGAATAATTGTTTGAACATTTTCTTTTCTTTACTAAAGTATTTGTAGGTCTTTCTAGTTCTAAATTCCCAGAAGAAGTTTCTGCTCCTGAATAATTTGTAGCAGTTGTTCCCTCTAAATCATCAGTAGAAATGTCCATATTAATATTATGGTCTTCTTTGGAAGTACTTTGAATATGAACTTCTCTCTGTATTGCTTCTATGGACCCATTTTCCTTATCATAATTGAGACCAGAATAATTATTAGGTTGGACAGCTTTAACATACTCAAGAAGACTAGGTGGACATTTAAAATCATTAAAATGCTCGTTAAAATGGTTATCCAAATTAGGAATAAGATAACTATCCAAAAATGTTGATTCACTGGCAGGATTTTTCATATCAGCAAAAACAAAGTCATCATTGAAATCATGGAAACTAATATCGTCGTCTATTTTAAACCTGTAATTATCATTCGCGCATGTATCTAAATCTTCTTTTGTTATGTATTGCCCTGGTTCTAAAATGCCTTTATATGCATGCTTTACATCAGCTACTTGAAAAAAACTGAGTCTATCAGTTTTTAATATTTTTTTATATTCATTAACAATATCTAAGAAACCTTTTTTCTTTGTTGTGCCTTTTTCATAGAGTTTGATAGACTTTTTTCCGTTTTTATTGGAATTTACCTTTTTTCTATTCTTCTTAGAGTGCATTCTAGAACTTTTCCTCAATAAAGTAGTGAAGACGTTACAAATTATATTAATACACAGTACTAGGTGCGGCTTTTTAGGATACCCTGTTAAACCTCCATTGTATAATATTAATTTTTTTAAATTCATGGTACTTATAGTTGTTCTACATCTTGTATGTCTAAGTAATGTACATATTAATCGCTTGAGTTGTTTCGTTGATAATAATGATATATTAGGTGTTTTGTCCATCCATAATTCACAGAATTTTTGATAACATAATTCAAATAAATATTTTTCAAGTTCTATAGATATTTGCTTACTTTGTTCATTGTTTCTTAAATCATTTGAGTGTTTGTGATAATTTATAGATTCAGTATACATTAAATCCAATAGCTTCATGAGTTTATTTACAGATGGCTGTTTAATAAAATCTAAAACAATCTCTGAATTCAATTTTGGAAATAGTAATGGAGTTGTATAATGTTTGGTTTTATAACGTTTAGTCTTATAACGTTCCGGTTTAAACTTAAGTGTAGGGAAGTCTTTAACAGAAATGATAGTTTGACGTTCAGAATTAAATGGTCCTATGAAATCATTCTTGAGTAGTTTCTCTTGATAATGTTCTATTTTCCTCCGTTTAGGGTATCTTTGGTTCAGTTCAAAGGTATGCTCCTCTGCAGTCTCTATTATTTTTCTAGTATACTTTTTCAATCTCTTCATAATGATCGGGGAAGCCAAATTTACAGAACATTCTTTCATATAACTATATTCTTTGTCCCTTTGTAAAATTTTTTTTGTATCGAAACATGTGGAATGTTCTCCGTGACTAAAAATTTTGTTCTTCTTTTCACTATTCAATTTAGAACCCATTTTTGTGTTTATGATAATATTTCAAACCTAAAATAAAACATGACTAATTATAATATATATTCATAACTTACTTAAGTCTTAAAAGATAACTAATATCTACATCAAAAGTTTTATTTAAGATTGAACAAATTCATAAAGAATATGGTTAATGTTTATAAGTTACCTATAGCTTATATTTAATAATACATATAAATATTAGTTATTACCTGTATTAAAAAACATTTTATACAATTAAACATACATTTAATAATCAACGAGTGAGAATGGGACACACCCAATTTATCTAACACATGCACAATATAGAATTGTAGACATGTTCTTCATTCTTTGCAAAACATACCAATCTAATGAAGTAATAAGAACTCTAAAAACAGATTTGAATTTGTCGTCAAGTCTACTTTAAATCGACTTTCCCACATTTTTGATTTTTAAAATACTACAATTTTTTAATTCCTCTTTTTTAACATAACGTTTTTAAAAATTTGGGGGATAATATAAAAAAAAGTGCTCTGCTGTACTGTAGGTAATAAGTGGGTCACTGTATAATGGATGGTATTAAATTTGAATTCAATTATATAATATCATTGTATAAGAAAAACGATTCTGAGAGGATGTTAGAGTATGTTAGTCTATAGGTATAAGACATATTATATACTTATCTATGGTATTAAAAAAAAAATTGTACCTATAATAAATTCCAAATTAATCATATCACAATTGCCATTAGGTACTTATAACGCGTTATACAACAACAAACCCTGATACTATCATAGATATATACAAGTGTACTTACTTTAGAAGTTTCAAGTACCCACGAATAATATTATACAATCTGACAATCACAACAAAATAACTAAAATAGTTATTCTAAGTTTTTTTATGTAATTTCGTCCTAATTTGAACTTAAAATGACAGTAAAAATAAACTGTGTTTAATTATTTTTTACGTGTAATTTTTTTATAAATTTTCAATCCTTAGATATAAAAGTTGAACATTTTATAAATTTTTAACTACAAAATAATTATTCAATTTTAAATTTGATAAATTTTGTCAAAATTCGATCTTTAAATGCTTATAAAAAAATATTGTGCCTATGTATTTTTAATATTTTTCAACTGATGTTGTAAGTTGTAACAATAAATCAGGAGCCTTGTATTAAATTTTTACACTTTTTGGCCCAACAGATAAAACTTTATTGATATTCATAGAAAAAAAACTAAAAAAATTTAAAACTTAAAATGTCCGTAAACAGCTCAAAAAGAGTCAAAATATTTTCAAAATGGTATGGTGTATAGGAAATGCTAACATAAACATTCAGTGAATTTTTCATGTATCATCAGTTATTCGTTTTTGAATAACAAAAAAATAACAAAATCGCTACATGAGAAGTAGAATGAATATATTATATTCATATATATTAATATATGTCATATTGTAAAAATATGAATTGCAATATCTCATAAAAATTTTATTTGATTTGCTCGTAGAACATTTTTTTTTTTTTTGATAAAGGTAGATAATCTTATAAGAAATCTTGTATTACATTTTAAAATCTTAGATTTAAAAAAAAATTTTTATGAATCCTTAACTCAAAATAATTTGATAATTTTCGTGATTTTTCCATATTTTGTCAATTTTTGAACTTTAAATGCTTATAAAAAAAACTGTGATTAAGGATTTTAAATATTTTTCAAATGTACTAGGAGCCTTCTATTAAATTTGAAGATTTTTGAAACAAATAAAATTTTATTGATATTTTTAGAAAAAAAAGGTGGGCAAGTGGGCGTCGATCTGCTGTACAGTAGGTTACAAGTGGGTCACTGTATAATGGATGGTATTAAATTTGAATTCAATGATATTATATCATTGTATAAGAAAAACGATTCTGAGCGGAGACGGTATGTCCTTCTAGGTATAAGACATATTATATACTTATCTATGGTATTAAAAAAAATTGACCTATAATGAATTCCAAACATATCACAATATCCATTAGGTACTTATAACGCGTTATACAACAACAACAAACCCTGATACTATCATAGATATATAAAAGTGTACCTACTTTAGAAGTTTCAAGTACCCACGAATAATATTATACAACCACAACAAAATAACTAAAATAGTTATTCTAGGTTTTTTATTATGATGTTATTTCGTCCAAATTTGAACTTAAAATAACTATAAAAATAAAATTTGCTTATGTATTTTTTAGATTTTTTGGTAACAGAATTAACTACTTACGTGGAATCTTGTTTTAAATTTTCAATCCTTAGATATAATTTTATACATTTTTAACTAAAAAATAATTATTCAATTTTAAATTTGATAAATTTTATCAAAATTCGATCTTAAATGCTTATACAAAAAAATTGTGCCTATGTATTTTTAATAATTTTCAATTGGTTTTGTAACAATATATCAGAAGCCTTGTATTGAAAGTCGATTTCAAGTAGACTTGATTCAATTCTGTTTTCAGAATTCTTATCGCTTTATTTGATCAATTGGTACCTATGTTTATCAAAAAACACGTCTAAGGTCCTATGTCGCACATGGGTTAGACAAAGAGAAAATCACTGGATGGAATCCCCTTAACATTGAAATATGACAATATTTTACAGTATTCTAAATTATACACTTGATATTAATTATTGATTAAAATATATATTTTTTTATGTTAACTACCTATGCCTACATAATGTAAAATTATAAAAATAGGTTATTCATCATTCTAATTCTATCTTATTTAATATTCCTTGTTTAGTAGAGCTCTCGACCAATGTAACTAGTTAAAATCCAAAATAAAAATATAGTCATTTGATTAATTTAGAATAATAATATTCCTAAAACTCATGTAGACCTAAGTAAAATGATTATTCAAGTAGCACATCAATAATGCTTAACATAATTACACATGTTAATAAGTAAACTAAAGTTAAAATATATTTTTATAAATGTATGATTCTTAGTTTAATATTTTTGTACGAGTAAATTTAGACATAAATTTAACATAAAATTAAATTGTTATTAGTTGTAACTTACCAGTTTATAATATCTGCATGTTACATTGAGAATAAATTGACATTCTGAAAAAAAAATATATATACAGTTCAATAGTACATAGGGATGTATATTGTATAATAGTATAATAGTACCTAGTAAATATATAATGTATTAAATATTATTTTATTGGTAGGTACTAATTTTATATTGAATATATCAAAAATGTGGGCAAGTGGGTGTCGCTCTGCTGAACGGTAGGTTACAAGTGATCACTGTAATGGATTGAATTACATTTGAATTCAATGATATAATATCATTGTATACGCAAAGCGACTCTGAGCGAAAACGACTAGTCAGCCTATGATATATAACTAAGTATAATGGATGATATTATTGTGAGTAAAGTAATTTATTTACCTACTTAAATGCAACCTTGTTTTAAATTTTAAATACTTAGCTATAAAAGTTGTACAATTTATAAATTTAATTACAAAAATTAAATTTTGAATTTGATAAATTATATAAAAATCGGACTTTAAATATGCATGCAAAAAAAATCTTGCCTTTGTATTTTTAATATTTTCCAACTGCTATTGTAACGATAAATCAGGAGCTTTGTATTACATTTTCACGCATCTCGACCCGACAAATAAAATTGTATTGGCAATATTATTTTATTGGTACTAATTTTATATTAAATATATAAAAAAAATGTGGGCAAGTGGGTGCCGCTCTGCTGAACAGTAGGTTACAAGTGGGTCACTGTAATAGATTGTATTAAATTTGAATTCGATGATATAGTATCATTGTGTAAGAAAAACGATTCTGAAGTCAGCCAATGATATATTGATATTACCCCAGATATTACTAAGTATATTTGATGATAATATTATTGTGAATAAAGTAATCTGTATGTAACCTATTTACATGGAAACTTGCTTTAAATTTTCAATCCTTAGCTATGAAAGTTGAACAATTTATACATTTTTAACTACAAAATAATTATTAAATTTTAAATTTGATAAATTTTATCAAAATTTGAACTTTAAATGTTTATAAAAAAAAAATAACAATAAAATCACAAAATCGCTACATGCGAAATAGAGCATTTTTTTTTTTGATTATGGTAGACAAACTTATGAGGAATCTTGTATTAAAAGACTAATAAAATTAGAAACAGAAAATGTTCCTAAAAAGTTCAAAACAAATCAAAATATTCAGTTCGTCGTTAGACTAAGTACAAACTACACGTAACTTATCGCGTCTCACGAATACCATTTTTCATAGTTTCCGGTAGCAGTAAAGTAATATGCTCGTTATTTATACTATTAGATAATATACGATAAGCCCGGCAACCGCAAGCCCATCACACTAAAATGTTTAAAAAACCACCGGCTTTCAAAAGCCCCTCCATTCGTCAATCAATTCAATGAAACAATGTACAAAAACAAAAAAAAAATGTCACCAGCTACTACACCCAAAACAACAAAAAAACCACATCAAATCCTAAACCACTACATCAGTTCTCACCAAAAAATGCACACAGAGTCAACACTTCAGTCAGCTCTATCAACACGGATATCAATAAACAATATTTCGCCTCAACTGTTGCAAACCTCTAAATACCCAAAAAAGACCAAACATTATTAATCGATATAAACGACCACGTCCCACACAAAGATTACATCATCGCTATCCTCATTATTATCATCGCTAATCTAATTGATAATCACCAAATTATTACAGTACAACAACAACAGTTCAAACTACTCAATTTTTTCAATCCCAATAAAAGAATAATTTTATACAACGTATATCCTAATATACCATCTGGCATTATTTCAAATGAATTCATCAAAATAAATATACATCTTTGTAGCCCTATAACACCTTTAAGAGCCGGTATTCAAGTTGGAGATTTTGCACATATTTTAAGTTTTCGTCAAAAACGTTTATTCAACATGATGACCTCCATAAACTCCCACCATCAATGCTTA